TACATTTCCACTTGCTAGACTAGCATGTAAGTGGAATCATACCTCAGGTTACTTTCTGAGTTTGCTTCTTTCCTTCATTGTAATACATTTGAGACTCCAGATGCTTTTGACTGCAGTAAGGTCCGTGGTTCCGGGATGGGCGTGGAAAATCAATAGCATTCCAGTAAACCATTAACATGAACCACTGGAAAATCTCATTTTCAAAATTCACAGTGTTACCCAAACAAGATAAAACAAAACAAATCCCAAAACCCAAAACAAAACTCAGGTGCCTAGGACTAAGACAAAATCTGTGCAAGATCTTTGTGGGGAAATTTACAACACATCATGAGCAGACATTCGAGAGGATGTGAAGAAATGCAAAAGGCCATCATGTTCATAAAGTCAAAACCTGCTATCAGAAAGATGGTGGTTCTTCCCAAGTGCGTATTCTCAATTCCTGTTCCAGCCACAATCCAAATAACACAAAGTTTTCCTCAGAACTTGCCAAGGCATCACAAAATTCATCTAGAAGAACGAAGGGCCAGGAACAGCCAAGGCAATCTTTTCTTTTTTTTTTTTTTGGAGAGATTTTCACTGTAGGGCGCATGCGCTCGCCAGACAGACAGAGACATAGAGACAGAAAGCGAGAAATCACCCCCCGGGGGGATGGTCATGCCGCAATCCCTTCTCCTCCATTCTCCTCTCGGGATCTTGGGCACGCACGCACACGCGCCCAGCGTGAGTTCTAAGCCACCGGGTCCGGGACGTGAACCGCGGTCGACCACGTGGGAGTCCAGCGACATAGCCATTACGCTAACTGCTGGTTCCTGAGCCAAGGCAATCTTAAGAATGTAAGGATGTATTGTGAAGCTGCGGTCATTAATATTGTGGTTCTTGTTAAGACACTGGTATGTACAGGGGGCAGACAGTGGAGGAGAATAGGGAGCTGACAATTACACCTGTCGTGCTGGGGAGCTTTCATAGAGGTAGCACCAAGTCAGTTGGAAAGGAGCCAATGACTGTAACTACGACAACTGGGATCTGTAGAGAAAAGATTAAAATTCAGTCCCTAATTCACATCATATATAAAGATAAATTCCAAATGAGTTAAAACCTAGTAGTGAATGGGCAAGCCGGTGGAGTGGAGGTTAAGACGGCTGGATCCTACATGGCCGACTTCGAGGTTCAAGTCCCAGACCAGTGGCTTGAAAAATCACGCCAGGCACATGTGCGTGCATGCCCAGAATCCCAAGAGGAGAATGGAAGAGAAGAGATTGTGTTGTGTCCATTCCTTCTGGGGGGGGTGATGTCTCTCTCTCTCCCTCTTATTCTCATTCCTCTGTCTCTCTGTCTGTCTCTGGTGAGTGCACACGCCCTATGGCAAAAACCTTAAAAAAAAACAAACAAGAAAACTATTACTCCTTCTCCCTTTTCCTCTTCCTGTCCTATTAAGACAAAACAAAACAGGAGGCCAGCAAGTAGCATGGTGGTTGGGGCTGGACTCTCACGTGGCCAACTGTGGTTCAAATCCCAGACTCAGCAGTTGGGGAGTCATGCTGTGAGTGTGTGTATGTCTGCCCATAGTCCCCAGGGAAAGTGAAGGAGAAGGGATTGTGGCCCTGGAGGGTGCTTTCTCACTGTCCCTCTCTTTGCATCTCTGTCTTTTTCCACTCTGGCAAAGGCTCGTGCCCTATGACAAAAACCTAAAACAAAACAAAACAAAACAAAACTTTAGAAGCCTGGTGAGGCTAATAAGCACTAAATTCAGGATAGTGAGGATTCGGGGAGCTGGGAAAGGAATGTACCAGGAAATAGAACATAGGGGACTTCAAATGTATCTGTCGGGTTTTACTTTTTTTTTAGAGGTTTTTGCTTTAGGACACATGTGCTTGCGTGAGAGAGAGAGAGAGAGACCTAGAGAGTGAGCGGAAAAGTGAGAAACCACCCCCCCCCGGGGGGGATGGCCATGCTGTACTTCCTTCTCCTCCATTCTCCTCCTGGGATCTTTGGCATACACGCACACGCGCCCAGCATTATTTTCAAGCCACCGTGTCTGGGACTCGAACTGCAGTTGGCCACATGGGAGTCCAGTGATGTAACTACTGCATCATCTGCTGGCCCCATGTTTTACGTTTTTTTTCGTCTTAAAATTATAAAATACTTGTTGAAACACCAAAGGAACTCAAGAACTACCTGTTGTTAGAGTAGATAGCAAAAATGGTCTTAGCAATTAATTCTCATAAAAAGATTAAAATCGATTCATAAGTTTTCAGAAAAAATCTTTACAGAACAGTAATTAGAAATCGTAAATTTTGAGCCAGCAGGTGGCATGGTGTTTGAGGCTCTAGATTCCCCCATGACTGACCATGGTTTGAGTACCAGATCTGGCAACTTGCTTTCTGTCTCTCTCTCTCTGTTTCTCGCTCATGAATGTACGTGCCCTGTAGCAAATTGAAAATAATAATAACGATGATAAATAAAATTAAATAATTACTTTTAAAAAAGAAATATCTTTATTATATTAAAAACAAAAAGCATGACTTATAATCAATGCACATTTTATGCATTTTATGTAAATTATATTGCACTATGTCCCTTCTGTTGGCCAGATCTCCAGGAAGTTGACAAGTAGCTTCAAAGTTGCATTTTCCCTGACAGTGGCCAATGGGCTAGGTATATGGTCTTTACCATCTTGAACAATTGGAAAAAACTTTTTTAATTGCCTAAAGGCACATGTGTTTACCAGAGAGAGAGGGAGGGAGAAAGCACCCTCAACGGGGCACAGTCATGCCACAGTCCCGTCTTCATTTCTCTGTCCAGTCGAGATTCTGGATGTGCATGTGCATGTATCCAGGATGTTTTCCATATCACTGGAGCCAGGGTTTAAACCAGTGAGTCATATGGGATCAGCCTTAACCACTAGGCTGTAGGGTCACCCCTGTCTTTACCATTTTGGACCTTTCCCTTATGTGAGCTTTGGGGAAGCTCTTTCCTGGGATTCTGTTTTTTTGTTTGTTTGTTTGTTTAAGCTCTTTAGGTGTATAGCCCTTGATGGTTGGGTGAGGAGTCCATGGCCCAAAGACCAGGGAACAACACAACAGATCAAAGTTTCTCAGCCTTGTCAATATTGACATTTTGGGCCATGGAAGAATTTCCTGTGCCTTGTGGGGGTCTTGGCAGCATTCCTGGCCTCAAACCATGGGATGCCAGTAACATCCTCTCAATTGTGCCAACCAAAGGGTCTCCGAGTCATTGCCCAGATGTCACCATTAAATCCCTGCACTGGAGCTTCACATTCCCACGAGCTGGAGGGTCCCTTCTGGCACTGCAGCCGTGGAGGAGCTGGGTGGGAAGGGCAACTGCCTCAAGGGCCCTAACCTAGAGCGAGAGGAGGCGTGCAGGGCAGAGTAGGAGAACGGAGCAGGCAGGCGAAGGAGCCAACGAGGCAGGGTTGGGGTCTCAGGGTAACAGTTGATGATGGGGCAGGGAGGGTGAGAGCAGAGCTCTGAGGCTGTGCGGTGCAGTGTGAGGCTCCTTCACAAGAACCAGGAGGAGTTAGCCCAGAGCCTGACCTCCTTTCCAGAGGGTGGCACAAAGCCTTCCACCTTTCCTTTACTTGAGCCAACTTTGGGCACTTAAGGAGCGTCGGATCCTCCTAAATACTTTTCCACTTTCCTCCTGACCTTGCAGGGAGTTAAGTGAATCTATTACAGCAAGTAGGTTACGCTCCTTGGAGAGAGATCGCGATTGTTTGATCATTTGTTCACTTGACAGATGTTTATCAAACATTCCCTTGGTACAGGCGGTGCCAAGCACTAATTACCCCGAACTGTGTGGTCCGGATAGACTCAGCTAGCACAGGGAGCTGGGGAGGGGCGGGGCGCACAGTGGACGGCTGTGGGGTTAAGCTGCCATGGTCTAGAGCTCAGCTCTGCGGCTGGCTGCTGTGACTCCTTGGACAAGTGAGTAATGTCCCTAAGCCTCAGTGTCTCCAACTGTAAAATGGGGTAATGACAATTCTTATACCAAGTGGGTATGAGAAGCTTGACAGTATGTACAGCCTACAGGCAGGTAGGTCCTGGCATTAGCGAGCACTCCACGGTGTTGGGAATATTTTGAACGTTTCTCTGTTACTACTACTGCATAAGGGCTGTCACAGCCTTAATATCAAGAACATTCTAAAGGACAGGTGACCAAAGACTTCACAGAAGTGGTTTTTAAATTTTAGTTCATTTTGTTCTTCCACAGATAAGAGAGAGAGGGAGAGGATCCCAAGGAGGTCCTGATGCCATGATCCACCCCCAGCCTTAGGCAGCCTCATGGGCCTACATGTGCCAGACACAAACCCAGAACCTTCCCATGGGTCTCAGCCTTGCAGGGCACGTATTTTACCCCTCCCCACCATCCAGCCCTGAAGTAGCTTTTTTGAGATGGGTCTTAAAGGAGTACTGGAGCTTTCTCAAGAAAAACAGAATATTATGGAGTTGAGAAAAGATCAGGCACTAGGATTCAGGCAGAAGAAAGAGCAACCAGGAAGTCCCAGATTGCCAGTGAGTGAGCCAGTGAGCACAGCTCGTCTGGGACAGCTGGTGGCTCTGTGATCCTGAGGCCGAGGGAGGGTGGGCGGTGAGGCTAGAATGGCTGGCAGGCGGGGCTGGTGGCCACAGGATCTTGTTCTGAGCAAACATAAATACCAAACCCCTTTGGCTTGAATGTGCTTCATTAATGACTCTCACCAAATCCTTCTTCCCAGCAACGCAGTGCTAAGTGTTCTTGAGCTCTTTGAGCCAAGGGCAGATTTGTCGGTGATAGGACTCTGGTGAACTGGGCTCCAGGCAGAGGGTACAACTCGGAAAGCAGTGATTCCTGTCCTGGAGCTCTGGGCAGGAGATGCGTCCCACCGGCTAAGACTGGCCTCCCTGTCCAGCCTCCCTTGGGGCTTCCCAGCTGTGGCCACTCAGAGGCTGTCACAGCTCCTGGAGTCTTAGAGGAGCCTACCATTTAGTTGCTGGGTCGCGATGCAGCTCACATGCTGCCTCCGGCAGACTGGACACCTTCCCCGCATACAACGATACCCTGGCATCTGTGCCCAAACAGCCGCCTGTCATTTTCCTGGAGCCCATGGCGTCGTGCCCGAGGCTCTGCTGAATCAGCCCAGTGCCGTCTGGCACCCACCACACTGCCGAGATCTCAGTCCCAAGGTCGTGAGCGGAGTCTGGATGGGGCCAAGTCTGGCTTCATCGCCCTCCGACACCACTCAGTGAGCACACTGGCAGTGAGCACGTCCTCGGTGCCAGGCACAGGGGTGCGGTTATGAATGAGGCTGACACCGTCCCTGGCTTTGTGGATCGCAGTCCTGTGGGAAAGACAGACACTGAACAGATTGTCCGATCTTAGCCCTCGTTATGGACGAGCTAAGAGAGGGGAAGGTGCGGGGGGGAGAGGGGGGTTGTGGTAACATAGAACAGGAGGAGACTCAAGGAGGCAACAAGATCAGGGAGGGCTGGGGCCAGCAGATGGCCTAGCAGTTACATTGCTGGACTCCCACATGGCCGGCCACAGTTCAAGTCCTGGATCTGGTGGCTTTAACATCATGCCAGGCATGTGTGCAGGTGTGCCCAAAATCCCAGGAAGAGAATGGAGGAGAAGGGATTTGCAGTGTGGCTATCCTTCCCAGGGGGTGATTACTTACTTTCCCCCTCGCTGTCTCTGTCTCTCACTCTGGTGAGCTCACGTCCCTAAGGCAAAAACTTCTAAAAAAAAAAAAAAGATTGGGACCAGCAGTTGGCGTAATGGCTATGTCGCTGGACTCCCATATAGTCGACCGCAGTTCGAGTCCCGGACCCCGTGGCTTAAATTCACGCTGGGCGCGTGTGCGTGCGTGCCCAAGATCCCGAGAGGAGAATGGAGAAGGGATTGTGGCGTGGCCATCCCCCCCGAGGGGTGATTTCTTGCTTTCTGTCTCTCTGTCTCTCTCTGTCTTTCTGGTGAGTGCACACACCCTGTCAAAAAAAAGAAGAAAAAAAAAGATCAGGAAAGGCCTTACTGAGGAGGTGAGCCCCCTCCCTCTACCTCCTGGCATCTTAGGAGAGGAGCAGACAGAGGTAGGAGGAGGAGTTGGGGAGACTGTCCTTAGCAGGGCCCATCACCAAACCCAGTGAGTTTCCTGGCTACGGCCCCGGGGCCTGCCCGGCATCCTCAGCACTGATGCCAACTTCTCCTTTGGATTTCTTCCCTCCCACCTCCGGCCCTGCTTTTCTTCCTTCCTTCCATTACGCTTTGTCTCCTTCGCTGACTTACCTTCCCTCACACAGATCATTTCAGTCTTCTGAGAGGATGGCCTTGTTCTCTAGGCCGTGGACACAGCAGTGGCAAGAAGCCAGCTCGGAGGGGCCCCACCTGGCTGGGTTCCAGCCCTGCTTTGCCCCTTACTGGACACGGGGTCTTGGACGCATGAGTGCCTGGCCGCTCTGTGCATTTGCCCTGCCTGAACAGGGGGTCCACTTGACCAAGGCAGTCTAAGTGGGGCAGTGCCAGCACAGCCCTCTCCTCTTCAAGGACAAAGTGGACTCAGTTCAGTTTACCTTCTGTTTTCCCTGGGAACATGACGAGTGTGGAATGTCAGGGTGTCCCCGGCCATGGTGCGTGTAGTAAAGCTGACCCTGCTCGGTAAATTGCATCTGGACTGCGAATTCTCTGTACGGCTTCAAAATACCTAATGAGCCACAGTTTGGGGCTTCCTTAATGTCAAAGGAAGGCTTCTTGCAGGGACCCTGGAAGCTCTGACTATGGGTTGTCGCCAAAGTTGCCAGCCCACATGGGGCCTGGGCCAGGGTGGCTCCCACACCCAAAGAGCTTGCACATGAGTTGTCAGCTTGGGGCTGGCCTCTGTCAGGTGAAAAGGTCAAACCCTTCCAGCTTTGACATTCTATCCATTTATTCCTTTAAAGATGTCTGTTGGGCAAAGTGGTAGCACAACTGGACCTTACATGGGAAAGTCCTGGTTTCGTGTCCTGGTGCCTCCCTGAGCATAGCAGGTGCACACGTGCACAACCATGATCCAGGCTGGCTGAGCCTCGGGGAGATTGGCGACATGAGGACCTGACTACCTCTCTCTCTCTCTCTCTCTCTCTCTCTCTCTCTCATGGAAGAAAAAATGAACTTTAGGGACCAGCAGGTGGCGTGGTAGTTAAGGCATTGGAATTCCCACATGGCCAAACACAGTTCGAGTCCCAAACCTGGCAACTTGCTCTCTCTCTCTCTGTCTTTCTCTAGCAAAACTCATGTGAAAAAATAATAATAAAAATAAATAAATGAATAAAATAATTTAAAAAAGAAATAAATGAACTTTGAAAAATGAAAATATCTGTTGTTGGCCTACTTTGTGGTATGTGCTGGGAACACAGTATTGAGCAAAACCGATCCATTCTGTGCCCTAAGGCACTCACAGTCCAGTGGGGAGCTGGCTGTCCATCAAAGCACCACATAAACAATAATGAAAGCACACTGTGGTAACGTGGACGTTGTGCTTTGGGACTCTCGTGGAGAGGTTGGACCTGGTTAAGAGGTCAGAGAAGATTTTTAGTAAGAAGTTGTGCTGAGGGGTCAACAGGTGGTGTGGTGGTTAAGGTGCTGAATCCCACATGACCAGTTCCATGGTTCAAGTCCCGGACCTGGTGGCTTGAAAAGAAACAAAACAAAACAAAAACAAAAACAAAACCCTGCGCACATGTATGTGCATGCCCAAAAATCTTTTTTTTTTTTTTTGGGGGTTTTTTTTTTGTTTTGTTTTGTTTTTTTGCTATAGGACACATGCGCTTGCCAGACAGAGACAGAGAGACAGAAAGTGAGAAATCACCCCTCAAGGGGGATGGCCACGCCGCAATCCCTTCTCCTCTATTCTCCTCTCGGGATCTTGGGAACGCACGCATGCGCGCCCAGCATGAGTTTTAAGCTGCCGGGTCCGGGACTTGAACCGCGGTCGACTACGTGGGAGTCCAACGACATAGCCATTACACTAACTGCTGGTCCCATGCCCAAAAATGTTGAAAGGAGAATGGAGGAGACGGGATTGCAACTTGGCCCTTTCCCCAGGGAGCGATTTCTTTCGTTCTCTCTCTGTCTCTCTCTGGTGAGTGCACGTGCCCTGTGGCGAAAATCTCAGAAAAGGAAGAAGAAGAAAATTGTTGTGTTGTACCTGACATCTGACAGATGAATGGGCGTTAACCGGGCCAAGGAGGAGGAAGCGTCCAGAGGGAGAGCCCATGGGCAAAGGCTTTGTGGGGGGTGGTGCAAAGTGGAGAGAGCAGGGCAGGTGGAGCCGGGTCATGTATGTCATGTACCTGTGGCGGTGCAGAGAGCCAACTTATTTAATTATTCATTTAAAACAGTGTTTAATGACCCAGCGAAGCCCTGGGCTAGGCCAGGGAGGCCTGACGCCTGGACCATCCCGTCGGTCATGTGTGATTCTTCATCCTCAGCGCCGTGAGAAGCAGGCGAATGCAAGGCAGGGAAGGGTGTGGGGCAGGAGGGCCGGCATGACTGGATTTACAGCTTAGAAAGCTTATTCTGGCTGCAGGGTGCTGAGGTCGAGTCTAGGGGAGTGAAATTTGAAGACACTTGGAGGGAACGCGTTCGGTGGGGAAGGAAGCCACGGTGCGGGTGTGCTCCACAGGGCATCGCGTGTGGGCTCGCTCAGGAGACGAGGGGTGGCCTCTCATCGCGGGGGTTCCGCTGCTCAGCCTGGCTATTCCTCCATGCCCTGCTTTTGACTTCCATGACCCCAAACCGCTCTCGTACGCTGCCAAACCACAGACTGAAGGGTGGTGGGCGTGGGGTGTCACAGGGTGGAGGTTCCCAGCAAGCCCCAGCTGAAGCAGAAAACCTCAGAGCAGTCATAAAAATAAATCGAGCCCCACAGAAGCATTTTCTGCAGCGTGGAGGACTGCCGCTGGCATCGACGCCAATGTTTTCCATCAAACAAGGTGAATGAAAGTCATGTTTTTCTTTGTCTCTCTCTCTTCCCTCCAGGCTTATATTTGGCACCCTTTACCCTGCGTATTATTCCTACAAGGCCGTCAAGTCCAAGGACATTAAAGAATATGTAAGTAGCACTCGATTTTGGAGGAGGCCTCTAGGGTGGGGTGGGGGCAGTTGGGCGCGAAGTGGTGGGAGAAGGTGGGTGCCCTCCGTGGTCTGGCACAGGAGTCACTTCATCACTTCTGTGAGACCTCCTGGGAGTCCTGCCCTCTGCCTACACCTGTCCCCTGTCCGAACTTGGAAGAAAGCAGAGAGGTAGAGGAAGGAGACGACTCCGCCACATCTGCCAGTGACTGCCTCTCTCAGCCCCCGTTTCCTTGGCTGCGGGACTCTGCAGACCTGTGTGTGGACACAGTCGGGTGTGGAGGCAGCAGCACAGGTCCCGGAGTCCGGCAGACCTGGCTTTATTCTTGGCTCTGCAGCTCTGGTCCACGCCAGCTGTGATTCCAGGATACCATGGTCAAAGCCCTGTTGCTTGATGAGCTTTTCGAAGGCAGGGGCTGTTTATCATCCTCTGTTTTCTGTAGTACCTCACAGTGGGAAGGGGGTCCAGGAGGACTTGCTGGCTAGAGGGTTGTATTAGTGACTGGCCGTGTGTGGTGCCCTCAGACAGGAGAACCGTTAGATCGCCCTGACTGACAAAGACCCACTGGGGCAGGTAGCGAGCGAAGGGTGTGCATTCCCACGTAGTGTGCAAGCCGAGGTTGAGGCGCAGAGGCTGTAGACTTTGGCATTACGAGAATGAGGTCAAGTCCTGGCTCCGACATTTATTGATATAATCGATGCTGGACAAGAGGCTTAGACTTCCAAGAGCCTTAGTGTCCTCACCTGAGCAGTGGAGTGGGTAAGAACAACCTCTGTCCCTCTTTGACACAGATGTCACTTAGCAGGTTTGACATAGGTGAAGAAATAATACAGAGTAGACTTGGAGAATCATTTTCCTTCTCAGATTTCCTAGGCCCCTGTAATAAAACCGGCCACCTCCAACTCACCTCCCACTCTTGGCTCCCAGAGTAGCTTGCACTTTGCAGTTGGCTTGCACGTTGATGCTACTAAGCAGGGAATTCGAGGGGGGTGATTCTACTCTGGGGACCGGGTCCCTGGCATATGTGAGGGAATCTCAGTGTGCACACTATAAATAGCTGTTAAGTTGCAAGCACAGCTCTTGGTTCTCAGTTGGCTTGGTGCGGTGTAGAGCATTAGGCAGCCTGTCCCGACCCCTCCGCACCTCCAGTGCAGGGAAGCTGTGCCTGGGCAGGGAAGGCCTGGGGTCACCATGGTGCAAGGTTGATCCTTCACTTTGCAGGGGCAGAAGCTCAGCTCTGTCAGCTCCTCCGGGAGAGATCAAGCCCTGGCACATAGTTTCACTCTGCCTAAACTCACAGGAGCCTGGCTTATGGCTGGGATGGCAATTCATTAATTCAGAGTGGAAGCCGTAACTGACAGGCAGAGCAGCTGTGCGCGTTGGCTGCAGAGCACGTGCTCTTCCCAGGAGGGGAGGCGGGAGAGTCGGGATCAGAAGGTTTCTGGGGACAAGAAAGGAAGAAGGGAACTGAGTAGTGTCAGGGGAGACCTGCCCCTTCCCCTGCACTCATGCGTACACACTCTGGCTCACACAGTCACTCATGCACACACACACTCTCACACTCACATGATCTGGCTGGATCCCACATGGCCTTCTGCATAGTTCGAGTGTTGGCTTAAGAAACATGCTGGGCATATGTGTATGTGCATGCCCAGAATCCTGATGGGAGGGAGAAACGGAGGAGAAGGGTTTGTGATGTGAACAGCCTCCGTGTGTGGGGAGGTGCTTTCTCACGTTCCCTCTCTTTCTGTCTGTCTCCTGACGGCACACACACCCTCTATGTGTTTATTTCATGAGAAAAAGACGGACAGGGAGAAAGAGACACACTCCCAGCAGGGTCTCACGCTGCAGCCCTCCCCAGTTTTCCCAGCCAGTCAGGACCACAGGCACGCGCACACACGCCCAGCATGTATATAGGTCAACCAAGGAACCGCACCCTCCTATTCTGGGTGGCTGCTTCCAGCTTGTAGAGCAGCGTGCTGCCACTGTGCACCCACGGCTGGGCCAGATTCTGGATCCCTCTTCTTTTTTTTCTTTAAAGTTTGTTCATTTTCTTTTTTCCATGAGAGAAAGAGACAGAGAGAGAAAGAGAGGGAGAGAGAGAGAGAGAGAGAGAGAGACATCCACAGCTTCCTCCTCTCATAATCTACCCGCAGCCTCCACCAGCTAGGTTCATAGACACATGCACAGAGTGCACCAGGAGACGGTGGGGTGTGAGCCCGGGACCTCCCCACGTGTGCCCAGCGTCACAGAGCACTGAGTTCCTGCCGTGCCACCACAGCTGACCCAGCTTGGATGTTCGCACCAAGCTGCCGGGTGATGCCAGTGGTGCTGATCCATGTACCACACCTTGAGTTGCAGGAAGCTGGCATGAGGCTCACTCATAAACTCCACCTTCATTTCTTGGTTCGGGAACCTTTAGATTCTGGTCGAGAAGCAGCATGGATGTGGGTCCCTGGTTCAGAGAAGAAGCTGCATCCTTCAGGAGCGTGCGTGCACCTCTCAGAATGCAGGCTCCTGGGTTCTCTTCCCGAGCCTTCCCAGGCCAGGTAGCGTTGTATAAAGCCAGCCGTCTCCAGGCAAGACAGGCACATGGTAAGGTCAGTGACTCCCCAGAGAAGCAGTGTTGTGTGGGATCCATCGAAATGGAAAGGACATGCCTGGAGTCCCAGCTGTGCAGCTGCCAAGAGCAGGGCAGTGGGAAAAGCATGTCCTCAAACGGAATAAATAAACACTCCAGAGAAGGTCTTATGCCACCTCTCCGTGAGGGACGGGGTAGTGCACCTCTTCTGAGAGACTGGCTGGTGCCTCGAGATGTGGAACCTTCCTTGAGATGCTTGGCTCCGCCGACACCGCGGTCTCTGAGCGGTGGTCACGGCCAGGTCAGCCTTGGTGAGAGGATGCCACGTCCCCGAGCCCTCTTTCTGCCTCTGTCACTTCACACAGTCACATGGCACGTGAGCCGTTGAACATGCACCGTCACACCGAGAAAGGCTGGCTGACGTCCTCAGGCCTGTCATCTCCGCCACTTGGTCCCTGAGCACCTCCTCTGCTCTGGGACCTTTGGGGGAGCAGAGCATGGGCCACAGGTCCCTCCATTCTCTGGCCCGTTCCCCTCATTCCCAGACCACCTCCACCCTGATCCCCACCGCCTCTGAGCACCTCACATCTTAGCCAAGACCTTACCTGGTGTGTTTCTATCTATCTATCTATCTATCTATCTATCTATCTATCTATCTATCTATCCACATACATACATATATGTACACTTTTTACACTTAATCACTATGCATCTTTTGAATGTACAACATGGTTTTCCCCAGCACACATACAGTGCATTATCAGTCCAGACAAAGGTATTACCATATACATTATCATCACCAAATAACTTTTCCTTTTTGTGTCAATTAAACATATTGTTTTTTCCCCTGTTCCTCTCCCTCCCTCCTTCTATTATCCACTCCTACCTGGTGTTTTAAAATGTACCCAGAACCCATTTTACCTAGGGCTGGTGAGACACACAGACAGGAAAATGCGAAGGAAGACTTTACTCACGATTCCCTAGGAGACATGAAGGGCCGCGTGGGAAAGCACCAGGGCCAGTTAGGAGGCAGAGGGAGAGCTGCGGAGATGCAAACAGCCTTTATCGTGCTTTTGTGAGAAAGCCAAGGCCTGGCAGGAGACCCAGCCCTAGGATTGGCCAGTTTGAATCATTTCAGCAAGCTCCAGAGTGGAGAAGGGGCTGCCTGTAGTGTTTGGTCCTTGGCCCTAAAGTCATCATAGCTGGGGAATATTGTCTGAACTTCTCCTTATTCTTTTTTTTTTTTTGGAGAGGTTTATGCTATAGGGCGCGTGCGCTGCCAGAAAGACAGAGAGAAACAGAGATAGAGAGATAGAAAGCGATAAATCAACCCCCGGGGGGATGGCCATGCTGCAATCCCTTCTCCTCCATTCTCCTCTTGGAATCTTGGACACGCATGCACACGCGCCTGGTATGCATTTAAGCCACTGGGTCCGGTACTCAGACTGCTGTTGGCTACATGGGAGTTCAGCGACATAGCTATTACGCCAACTGCTGGTCCCATATTGTCTTAACTTCTAAGAGCTCTGTTAAGGTATGAGAGAACTTAAACAAGGAACTATGGAGTCTGGACTGGTTAGTTTATGTGTGAAAGACAGGCTCGGGACCAGCAGTTGGCGTAATGGCTATGTCGCTGGACTCCCATGTAGTCAACTAGGGTTCGAGTCCCAGGCCTGGTGGCTTAAACTCACACTGGGCATGTGTGAGTGTGTGCCCAAGATCCTGAGAGGAGAATGGAGGAGAAGGGATTGCGGTGGTGGTCATCCCCTCTCGGGGGGGTGATTTCTCGCTTTCTGTCTCTCTGTCTCTCTCTTTCTGGCGAGTGCATGTGTGCTATAGCAAAAACAAACAAACAAACAAAAAACAAAAAAACAAACAAACAAAAACCTCTCCAAATAAATAAATAAGACAAGCTCTAGGGGATGTCTTTTGCTGTCTCTAAGAAGGGTTCTCCCTGGAAAGGGCAGTCTCTTTGAAAGTCAGTGAGGCCCCAGATGCCAGAGCACCGAGGAGACAGAAAATAAGGGAATGTTGTTAATACACCTGGTGACAGTGTGAACGCGTGCTGTCAGGGTATTCCTTGTCCAGGCTAAGCACACTGGCTCAAGTTCTGCCTGCGGGGGAGTTCTGCTTCCCTCTCTCAGGGCCCTCCCTGACTGTATAGCCATTGACCATGCGCTCATGCCCGCGGATGGTACGGGGCCATCTGGAAACCAGGCTCGCAGGCTCACATTTTCTCTTTGTCAGTCACGTGGTTAGAGAATTCCTCATGCAAGAGGAGGGTGAGAGGCGTAAGAGATGTCTGGGTGCCTGGTTAGAGGAGAGTCTGAAGGGGAGGGGAGGCTCCAGAAGTGGCTAACCCTGCTCTCTGCCACCTGCAGGGAGGCCTTTAGCAGAC